ACGATCACCCCAGAAGGCTGTGGGCACACTGCTGTGCTGTTTCACCCGGTACAAACAGCCCAAGTGAGGTTTCAAGGGCTTGACTGCTGCCTGAGCAACAAGCACCAACATGTCCCCTCCAGTTGGGGTGGCAAAATGAATGCCATGATCCCTGCAGCAAATGCACTGATTGTTTTTCGGTTGTGGCTATTAAAGATTGCGCTAGAAGAGCCTGGGTTTAAGGCTCAACCAAAAACCCACCCCTGAGGTGTGTGGAGCTGAGCACAGAGTGGCGATGCCCACAGTGATGGGACAGGAGCGGGGCAGAGCTGTGCAGACACACCAGCCTGGCCCAGGACCTTCTTGGCACAGTGTTGCCAGCTCCTCAGGACAGAAATGCTGGAGGGTGTTGTTACGTGCCTTCCTTCTGGCACGACTCCCTGATGAGAAGGGAGTCTTTATGAGTGAATCCAGTGCAGGAGCCAACCCTCAGCACACATCATGCAGTGTTGGCATTCCCTTCGCCTTTGAGCCCCCCTTGCTAAATCTCCTCTGGCTTCAGTAACAGTCTCCTGGGGTCTTCTTGGCTGAGCAGATCATACATCACTCCCCAGACAGACTAAAGCAGGCCCTGGTATTGTGCCCTGGGGTTTCTGCTACTTTCACTTTGATTTCCCCAGTGACTCATCCATTTCATGCCACTGAGCAGGATTTACAGTCTGTCTCTCCATGTCACCTTTCCTCCTGCTTCTCATGGTAGTGATTTCCTAGGAAAAAGTATCTAGAAATGCAGAGCTGTTCTTCAAGCACTTCAGCTGGGGTGATTGTAGATGCTTTAAGACTCAGGCAGTGTGCTGCTAGCAGCATGGCATTAGAAACCCATTGCACCTTTGCAAACTGGGAACAGCAAGAGGGCTGCCCATGGAATGGATAGTACCTCAAGCTCCCGTATCCAGCCCCAGTGAAGTCACTGGTCCTGGCAAGCTCATGGCTTGCAGCAGCAAAGCAGCACAGCACAGCTGGGCATGGGGTCACCCAAGCCTGGACCTCACTGAGGGCTACTTCTCCTGAGGGATTTGGGACCACTTCATTCTTCCGGCACTTAGTGGCTGTGTAATGCTTCGCAAGCAGATCTAAAGGTACACCCATTTATTATTAATAATCAGAGTCACCATGTAAAAATACAAATGCAGCTAGATTGAAGATGCAGCTCTGCCACTGAACTAAGTGCCCTGCCAGCATCAGGACTGATCCCATCAGGCATCTGGGCTGCAGCTTTTGGAGCTCTGGAGAGCTTGCAGCATTGTACAAAATTCCACTTTTCTGACACGCTTTCCAAATTATTCATTCAGTCTCTACGACAAACCTTCCAAAGAGCAGCACATGTTGAGTTTAAGGATGACTCCTGAATCCATCTTTGAAACTAGATTTCAGAGAGGTACATTTAGGGCTTGCACTGCATTGGTCACAACTCTTACTCTGAATGCTTTTATTTGGGATGCAGCAGTTCTGAAGGCAGAGCAGTTGGTCTCATTAACAGAAGGAGACTTTCCTTAGGATGAGTAGCAGAAAAACTGTGATGGCTGCTCAGATCTCTGCTGGCGTCTACTGGATACACAAACCAACACCAGTGCTGAAAGAGAAGCAGGAATGGGGGATCTCATTCACGTGAGCTATTCCAGTTCTGGTGATTATTGTCAGCTATTACAGCCCATCAAGTTGTCACTTACAAATTGCTAATTGTTCACAGTTCATAAGTTATGCACAAAGCATTTGCTTTGAACCAAGACTTCATCCAGAGATTAGGAAGGGAGTGGAAAATAATGATTTGAATGAAATTGATGATTTAATCAACTCCAGTTGTAACAGTACCTTCTAAAATGCTTGTCATTCATCAAGACAATGTTTTCCTTCTAAGATATGAAGCATTAGTTATATCAGTGGCATGCATATCACTGCCAGATAGTATGGCGCTCTTAAACTGAGGGTAAGTATGCTAGAAAGCCAACGAGGGACTAAAGAGCCCAAGAACTAAATTTAATTTGGCTTTGACTAACATTGCCACTGGTATCCTGGGCTGAACTGGTCTTCAAATCATATGAACTATCTCTCTCATGCAGAATATCCTGCAGTGAATAACCCGTGCGATTTTTGAACTGGAGTGCTAAAAAGTGTCCCAACATCCTTTGCAGAGCCCTTCTGCAAATGAGATTGAGGTTCACCTTGCATCCAGGCTCATCTCAAGGGAGGAAGAAGGACAGAAGTACTGCAGAGCTATGGCTGGAGTGTTGAAGCCTCAGTGCTGATTTTGCAGTGTCTAAACCCTCAGTGTCTTGCTGCCTTCTAGGTTCTCCTTCAGCCCAAAGAAAGGGGATCTCTAAGTGGGGTGACACCAGCACGGGCACGTAAGAGACGTGGAGCTGATGTCTCCATAGTGGCTTGGCCAGGAACCACCTCCTGTAATGTTTTCTTACCCATGAACAAGCAGCTGCAACCATGGGCAGAATTTTCAGAGCTAGAGTAAAAGAGTGAGGTAAACCTCAGGTTTCCTTCTGGATGAACATACTGAGTTATTGCGAGGTACAAGGACAGACTGACACACTGGCTTGTGTGCTAGCACGGCCAAGACCTTCTTGCCCACTCTGCACTGTTGGCAACAGGCAGCAACTTTTAGCACAGCTGGGACACAGAAGCATTTCTAGTACTGTTTTGGCAGGCAGCCTGCAGGCTTTGTTGTGTTTTGTGTGTGTGTCTCTCTCTCTGCTGTTTGTGGTTTATTTAAGACACTTCACCCTTTGGTTGTATTTTTTAAAACATACTTTTAAAAATGTGGCTGTAGAGACCCATATACCTAATTTGCTCAATAGTGCTACAAGGAGCGGCTGAGGGAACTGGGGTTGTTTAGCCTGGAGAAAAGGAGGTTCAGGGGAGACTTCATCACTCTCTACAACTACCTGAAAGGAGGTTGTGGAGAGGTGGGGGTAGGTCTCTTTTCCCAAGTAACAAGCAATAGGACAAGAGGATATGGTCTCAAGTTGCAGCAGGGGAGGTTTAGATTGAATATTAGGAATAATTTCTTCACGGAAAGGATTGTCAAGCATTGGAACAGGCTGCCCAGGGAGGTGGTTGAGTCACCAGTCCTGGAGGTATTTAAGTGTAGATGTGGTACTGAGGGACATAGTTTAGTGGTGGGCTTGGCAGTGTTATGTTAAAAGTTGGACTTCATGATCTTAAAGGTCTTTTCCAACCTAAATGATTTTATAATTCTATGATTATGAGGAGTACAGAGCAGGCACAGCTTTAAAACACAGGCCAGCTCTCTATTAGAGCTGCAACAGGTCCACGTCAGAAAGGATCTGGTCAAGAATCTCCCCATGCTACCGCCCAAGTTAGTGTTTGACAGAAATGTGTTAATTTGTGGATGGCTCAAAGACTGCAGCCAGCTGCTGTCATTCAGCTCTTCACACACAAGACTAATGTTTAAAAATACGTTGAAAAATGTTTAAATACTCTTGTTAAAAATACACTGAAAAATGTGTTGCTACAGCTTTGCTACCACCTTCCTAGAAAGCCGTGTTAGTTCACTCCTGGTGCAGCTCCCATGATCAACCTCAGGCCTGGCATCCCCAATCCTGCCCTTGGCAGGAGGAGCTGCCACAAAGGTGCTTACCTGGCCTGTGGTACGCTGGTCAGGGCTTTAAATCACTAGAAAGCTAAGCCAGCATGAAGAAGTGGGACTCGGTGGTTTTCTGTTGTTAGTGCCTGAGCTGGTTAGCAAGGGTCAGCTGGGGCTGCGGGGGTAGAAAGGGACTGGGAAGGTGGCCGGAGCCGAGCGCTGAGGGCAGCAGGGCCGCCCTTTTCAGGGGCTTTCTGCTGTAAGATCAAGGCAGCCATAGACAGCACTGAACAGCACACAGTCAGGCACACTTCCACATTTTCTTTACCCAAGAACTATCCCTTAGTTCATCTACTCTGACCAAGTTTGTTCCAACTGGCAGAGAAAGCTCTTGCATGCAAAAAGTGCAAAAAAAAAAACCCTGTAAATCTGTGTGGTGCTAAAGAAAGGAAGGCTCTAAATGATCACTTCTGGTCAAAGCTCAGGCTCTGCTTCAGAGCCGCAGAGGAGCCAAGCTAAAACTGGTGACATCCCTTCTCTTACAACACGGACTTCAAGCCACAATAGCGGTACCGTGGAGAGGATCGGAGTTAGGGTGCTGTTCTGCAGGTGACACATGAACTACAAGCGGTCTGCCTTTGCCTGCTGTCTGTACTACACAAGGCTGACGAGTACTGAGCTTGGACAGTTTTCCTTGCTTCTGTCCTCCCAGCGTTACATACAGAGCACTGGCACTTACTCTAAGGACTGTTGCTACAGCTCACGGAGAAACGTCCCTTCTGGGAAGGCAGAACGCCACAGGTATTCTTTGCCAACTCTTGGATTGTAAAGTTTTCTATAGGTAAGAGGCTGTGACTAGTGGAACTGAGGCTAAAGGTCTTGAAGCTGTTCAAACACCAGAGTGCTCTGTATGGCAAGTTAGCCAGCACCGATCTCCTTGTTACCACCTGTCAGCTACTTAGGTAAGAGTTAAATCTAACATCGTCATTCACAACCACCTCTTTACTTTACACTAGCCCTATCTTGCTTCGGAAGGGCAGCTATGCAAGAAATTCCTGTCCTACCCTTCTAACAAGTCACTAGTGTTCACTTGCTGTCAAACAGCTTCTGTGAAAAGCTGTGGTTTTTCTGTACAGCTTGGCTCTGAAACAGTACAAATACACTGCTCAGCTTGCAAAATCCAGGATCTGCAGGGCAAGGCTCAAATCTTTTCCTCCATGGACTCCAGGAGCATCACAGAAGAAAATTACAGTAATGCTCACAGCATGAAAAACAGCTGCATTCAAATTTCACAGACAATTAGGTGTTTGTCTACTATCATTCCTCTGGCAATTTTTTACACAAGTTCCCTTCTCAAGGCTGGGCTGAGAATGATGCCAGGCTGAGACACTTTCATCTCCTGCATAAAAGACAAAGTTTATTTCTTGTCTCAGTTACTTACAAAATAATAATACTATATTCACTTGGGTCACAAACAGTTGAAAAAGCCGGTAAAACTTTAACATTGTATTTTTAAAGCCTGTACAAGGAAAAACACTGCCTGTCTTTCACATTTAACTCTGGCAAAGATAACGGAACGCCCAATCTTAGTTTCTGATTCAAAATACTCATTTAAGGCTTTAGGCCTTTGGACAAAAATTTATACTGATAAATTCATATGAATTTGTGCTGTGCAATCACACTTTCACTGTGTTATTTTCCTTTTTTTACAATGGCAAACAGAGCTGGTTTTAAAATATTATACTCCAGATGGATTGCTGCCATTAATACAGTAATATGTTCTCTGCATATACACATTCTCACATGCTTAAGAGCACACGAACACATAGTATTGCTTTACCTCTCCCTTCACCTCTCTCGCATGGCTCCTCTAAACATGATTAGAGATGTGAGACACTTTGGATGAACTCAAAAAGAAAACACACACCTTGTGCACAAACTCAGCAATACCATATAGTCTACACTCACACTCTTTCCCTCAGTCTGACTGATGAACTCTCATTTCTCACATTCATAGTATTTTAAGTAGACTGTACCTGAAAAAAAAAAAAAAAGTTGCTGAAATTCTGACAGGTGAGGTTTCATCTTCCTTTCCTTCCCTCACGGTATACATCTTCCTTTCCACAACAGTTACTGTTTGTTATGCTTGGGAGTTCAAAAAAAAAAACCCAAAACTTAACAGATTGCTTTTTTAGCCTGTCCTATAGTTTATGACTTTCTGACTATCAGCACTTCCACACATAACGGGTTAAAGCAACAAAACCGCCAAGATGCAGTTTCACAGTGTGGTGTTTTCAGAGTGTCTTCCAGCTGCCAGCGCTCAGCTTTCAATTGCTTTTTTGGCACTTAACAACCAGCTCACACAGTCAGTCAGTTGGGGCTGTATTTGTGTGTCTGTCTTAGCTTCACTGTGGCACTTTCTGCAGGACTGGAGCACATACTGTTTCGTTCTTGCAGTCAAGTTCTTGTGCTGGCTGGGCTCAGCAGCAATCTCCAGCATATCACACCTGCTGAATGGGAAGGGGGACTTCCTCTCCCTGTGGAGCTCTCACTGCTTGCCGACCAGATCGCCAAAACTCACACGATGGAGGAGAAACCACACTGTGGCTCACGCAGTCCCATTTCCTGGTGGTCTGGCTGCAAAGGGCTCCACGCGCCTGGGCTCCCCGCTTTTCCTCAGGGGAACAGCTCCAGGGCCGAATGCCTCCATCCAGGACTCCCATCCCTTCAGAGGCTGGTGTCGGCAGTGTCCGCTTTGGCCTGCAAGGTGGCCTCAGAGATGGTGTCTGGTTGCCCATCCCGACAGAAGAGTACAGCAGGGTTCTTGCAGGCCCACATGGCCACCTCTCCCCCACTCGCTGGGCTGGAGGAGGACGGGGCGCTGCCCGGGGGGCCACTGTGCCGATTGACGTAGCGCTCCCGGACACGGTCAGCCCGGCTCCAGGGCTCCGGCTGGCGGCCCGGGACCGAGAGGTAGGCCGCCACATTGTTTCTAGTCCGGTAGCCGCCCTCACGGCTTCGCCGCAGCAGCACGGAGATGTTGGGGTTGCGGGCAGCGTAGATCAGAGGGTTGATGGCGCCGTTGGCCCAGGCCATCCCGCTGGCCACGGCATCCATGGTGGGCGAGAAGGGCAGGCGGCCGGCGGCAGCAGCCAGCCCCAGGATGCAGTAGGGCCCCCAGCAGCAGATGATGGAGACAATCATGATGAGGACAGTGGTGGCCGTGCGCATCTCCCCGTAGGCCCGCAGCAGGTGCCCGTAGGTGGTGAGGGGCCGCACGCGGCTCTCGGCCAGCCGCACGGCCCGGCAGATGTTGTAGTGGCAGAAGCACATGAGGGCGAAGGGCAGGAGGTAGCAGAGCACGATGAGGGCCGCGCCGTAGGGCGGCCCCAGCCGGGACGAGCCCCAGGGCAGCACGTAGACACAGCGGTAGGCCCCGGGCCGGGCCTCCCGCTGCCCCTCGCCCGCCAGCCCGTACCAGGGTCCGGCCAGGGCCAGGGCGGCCAGCCAG